AACCTTCCTGAGTAAGACAGCACATGATGATGATGAAGACCTGGTGAGAAACAGACAGAAGTGGAGGATTGTGACAGCCAACCTTCCTGTAGAGGATTGTGACAGCCAACCTTCCTGTTTGAATTTCGCGCAAAGCTACACGAGGGCTATCTGCGCTAGCCGTCCCTAATTTAGCAGTATAAGACTAGAGGGAAGGCAGCTAGTCATCATCAACTGTTGGGCTACACTTTTACCAACGAATAATGGGATTTATCGTCACATTATCACGCCCCCATGGCTGAAAGGGCGACCATGTTTGGTGTGACGAGGATTCGAATCTGCGACCTTCAGATTGCGAGTCGAGCGCCCTAACCACCTGGCCATTTTAAAATGACTCGGCTAAAGATGTACTTTTATCCATAGTAACCATACCCAAGAATATTTTTAAAATCACTAGATTTTATTGCGCAGGATCAGTTCATTTACTTTACTCAAAATGAGAATACGCATATCTGATTAGTGGAAGTGAAAAACACATTTTTCGAGAAGCTGTTGATTTTTTTGTTTATAAAGTTAGAATCTGTCAAGGCTACAAAAAATTCACACAGCAATTTCTCAAGAAAATTCATCTAATGCTGAAGTGTATTTCAATATATTTTGTAAATGATTCTGTTTCATTGTTTAATACCAGCTTTCTCGAAGACAGCTCAGTGAAAGTTGTCATCATTTTGGTCAATGAGGACATTATATCCTAGAAAGTGATCAAAGAATTATAGAAGATCGCTCTCTGCAGAACCATAAAAATGCTTTTGAGCTCTAATGGAGGCTTTACAGGAAAGTTATAGGTACAGTATCGTAAGTAAAAAGTTCAGTTTCTCTTTAAGTTGAGCTGGTGAAAATTCAAATTTTATATTGTTCCTATTTAAATAGCTCTCTAGTCTCTAGTACCCACACACAACCACAAGTAAAATCTGACATCCGAAACCGGTGGTTACGTATGGCTCGCGGCTTACAAAAGGTACACAATGTCTCTCTATATATAGTAGTAATAAATATACAATTACAAAATGAGATTTTAACATCATTATGTGTAAGTGGGCGAAAGTTATCAGCAACCACAGAACAAAAGTGGAAATATCTTAAAATGTAATTTAAAAAACACGCAAAGACAAAACATACAAAAAAGTCATCAAACTTATTTATGAGTGGTGTTTAGGTGTGTGCCAGCGTTCAAATGGCGTTGAAGACAGCCAGTCTTTTTAATTATACTCCAATGCGGGTAGAAATTTTTACTGTTCAACAGATGAACACATGTGAAGTTATTAGAGGGCCATGTTCAAGTACATGAACCCATAATGTCCTGAACCAAACTATACATTCGCTGTCTGCATCCAATTATGGGAAGGTTTTTGTTCAGTAATAAAATCAAATAAAGAATACAACCGACCACAGGTAGACTTAAATAATTCAGAATACTAATAGCAAAAAAAATAATGTATAATATACGAAAGTAAAATAAAGAATAAAATAATTAATAAAAAAGATTATGTTCTCCATCGATAAATAATCAAAAGCAACATATAGTTTTTCCTTGAATGCGAAGTGTCAAGAAAGACGCCTAAGAAAAGGCACTATGAAACTTATCATAGGAAGAAAATTATTTAAAACAATATAAATTTAAAGAAGTTTAGCAACTATGGGCAGCCTGAAATAACCTTCAGTCATCTAGAAGTTGGTCTTTCCTGTATTTTACTTGAATTAGAATTAATCAATTCAAAACAAAGATAAGTAGAAAATAAGATCATACCTGTTCTTAAAACTATAGGACAGAAAGAAGGAAGTGCAAAACGAATGCTAGACTGGGAGATTTGAGTCACGTGATACCATGCCCAATCGTTCTTGAATGTGACCAATACCAGTCAAGGTGACAAAAGGTCAACGAGCTCAAGACCCGGAACAACTGTCTTTACAGGTGAAAATGATATATTTTAGAATATAATTGGAACTATATTTATTTAGTGTATTAACATATTTATTGAAATATAATCGGTATATTTTGATTATAGTTGGAAAACCATAACCATTAAATTTCAGTTTTTCAGTTGATAGTTTGACATGGAGTAAAAAATATTCAGTTTTATTTCAAGCAAGCATAAATCATTTCAGTTGTGAAATAATTACACTTTTGATTAAGGTATTAGGGATTACACTTTAAACAGAATAAAAGCCGTATATATGGAAGTTGAAGTAGTTTCTTTTATCTAAAAGTTTAAGTTCAAACTACCATTATGTTAAATGATATATCTAAGTCAAGAAAATGACAAGAAGCCGTCGATCGTTTCATTGGTCATTTCAAGCTCCAGTCCACATGGTAAAAAGTAGAAACCGTTAGTTCAAAGCCTACATTGTTGAAAGAAATTATATCATCAATGTATCGAAAAATAAAACGATACTGATCCGGCTTTCGTGATTGTGAGATGAATAATTGTTCGTAATAATAATAATAAATATTAGCTATATCATGG